AAAAGGGTATAGATTTAATGGAGAGTTCAGGAATTGGCTCTAATTGTACAAGCCGGTTCAACCAAACCGAATTAAACAAAACTGCATCATTCACCACCATGTCATACAGAAAAGTCCCAGAAAAATAGCATCTTGTCTTGCAGAACTATGATAGCAGGAAGAAGACATCAGTTTGTGCATTGAGACAAGAAGTTGTTAGGGGTATAATACAGTTTGGTGTTAAAAAGCAAGTGACAACTTAATTCCAAAAGGAAGAGTTACCTTCTGGGGGAGTTGCAACACTGCTCCCAAGTCCCAAAATAGCAATACTGTGATTCCTTGGTTCCAGCATCATTGCCAACTCTTCTCCTCTTTCCCAGTGTGGTACTTTCACAGGCTCCAGATGCACATTTTCCAGCCCATCCTCCTGCAGGGCACGGAACATATACTTGATGGCTGCATCTAGATTTTTCGAACCGCTAAGTCTAGGTCCTATGGTATCAGCAAAAACCGCTAATCTTTCATAGGATCTGTTCTGAGCTTTTCCATAAACAGCAAGATCAATAATAGCTTTAGCAATATCAGTATATCCAGCTATCTCATTTTTAATGTCTTCAAACTTTTTTGTGTAACTGTCATCTCTTCTCAAAGATTTCCCAGCATACTGTGGTAATAAATTAATGAAAAATATTACGAGTATGTACTTCATTTTTTCTTTTTTTTCTTTTCCACAGATGGCCTGTTGAAGAGACAAAAAGAAAAAAAAGATATTAAAAAAATCATACAGCTATCAGCAATACTTTTTGTTATTTAGATTGGCAGGCAGACCAAACTGAAAAGAAATCAGTTTATCATGAAAATGCTTTGATCAGAACTGGCAGGAAAGTAAACTTAACTTGGGAGACACAATTATTGAAAGCAAATGAAAAAGATACTTAGACCACTGGACAAAATCTTTGTTGTGGTCTTCAGAAACATCCTTGGAATGCTGCATCTCTTTAAATAATCACATCCTTCACTGAATCAAAACCCAGGGCTGCTCCCATCCAGGATGAGCTTTGCATCTCCTTTCTGTTAGGAGCAGGATTTGCCATAACTGCCAAAACAAATGTCTTCACACAAAACATCTGGACAAAAAAAACTTCTTAAACCATTCATGAATAAAAGTGCTTCCTAATCTCTATCTTCACAATCAGGAATACACTTTCTCTGACAAAGTCAGAGTAACTTAGATCCAATGCTCCCAGGAAGAAAGTATGAATTTCTTCATTGCATAAATCCATGACTACCAAACAAACACCATTTCTTATTAACTGGTATGTCTCTTAAGCATTGACTTCAGCAGCACTGTAGTGACGTGCAGCACCAGGGGTGCTGATCCTGTGTTGAATACCAAGAGTTATCTTTGTTAACACTCTATAGTTTATCCATTTTACCATTAAAAGTTTTCATTTTTAAGACCTTACAAATTTTCAATCCCATAAAAGCGACACTTTGTCAATACTACTAATCGAACTGACAAAAAAAACCTCTGGAATCTAGTTGGAATAGTTGTCAAACTCTTTCATAACATAGGAAGTATGATTATCCAAGCCCAAAATACAAAGGTCTTTATTGATACACACAAAATGAGATGTAATTGTTTCATTTGCCTTTGAATTTAAATCAGGCTGCAATTTGAATGATAAAAATTAGCAATAAGAAATAAGGCCTTTAAATCAGCTCTATAGCTGCAGTTATTATGAGACTTAAAAAAATAGTGATTAGTTACAGTCAAGTGAAGAGACAGTTACTGCTACCTCAAAAAGATTTTGGTTCAGCACTTTTTCCATTTTCATGGACTTTCATGGAAATACTGATATTTTTTGAAAAGAATGCAATTTGCCTTAAAAATAGTAATACAAAAGACAAATGTTAGCCTCCACTCAACAAAATATGTTTGTCTTGGAAACAATTGTTCTACAAATAGCAAAGGCCTAATTAGTTGGCTAATATGGATATAATATGAGTAAATCAGACCTGCACGGCAGAAGTATTACTAAAAGCTTTTGCTGCTAAGATTTCTACATTATGCTTCTTCCTTCTTTGTATTTACTTAGTACTTCTGAAGAGTTATACTCCTCATTTTATACTCACTGACTTGAGGAATCATGACAACATACTCACCTTGTATTTTTGGTTCATGATGTTATATGCATACAGTGCCAGTACAAAGGTAGGAGGGAGGGTAAGAGTGTATGTGCACATATATACACATGTATTGACATATATTATAACCACATATGAAATTCACATGCAAAATACAAAAAATCCTCCTTTATTTGCAGACAATTGCACACTACAGGAGCTTTAATTAAGTATCAATACTCGGTCATTTTATGGAGTACACAAATTTTGCAATAACCAAATAGCTTTGTAAATCATACAGTGGTCTACGGCTCAATGTCCAGATGGAGATCGGTGATGAGTGGCGTCCCTCAGGGGTCTGTATTGGGACCAATACTCTTTAATATCTTCATCAATGACATAGACAGTGGGATCAAGTGCCCCCTCAGCAAGTCTGCAGATGACACCAAGCTGAGTGGTATGGTTGACACACTGGAGGGACGAGACACAGAAATCACAGAAATCACAGAAACACTAGGTTGGAAAGGACCTTCAAGATCATCAAGTCCAACCATTAATCCAGCGCCACCATGTCCCCTAGACCATGTCCTGACACCATCCAGAGGGACCCAGACAAGCTCAGGGAATGGGCCCATGTGAATCTCATGAGGTTCAACAAGGCCAAGTGCAGGGTCCTGCACCTGGATAGAGGCAACACCCAGTATCAATACAGGCTGAGGGATGAAGGGATTGACAGCAGCCCTGCCAAGAAAGACTTGGGAGTACTGGTGGATGAAAAGCTGGACATGAGCCGGCAATTTGCGCTCACAGCCCAGAGGGCCAAGGATATCCTGGGCTGCATCCAAAGCAGTGCGGTGGTCAAGGGAGGGGATTCTGCCCCTCTACTCCACTCTGGTGAGACCCCACCTGGAGTGCTGCATCCAGCTCTGGAGCCCTCAGCACAGAAAAGACATGGACCTGTTGGAGAAGGTCCAAAGGAGGGTCACCAAAATGATCAAAGGGATGGAACACCTCTCCTGTGAGGACAGGCTGAGAGAGTTGTGGTTGTTCAGCCCGGAGAAGAGAGGGCTTCAGGAAGACCTTATTGCAGCCTTCCAGTACTTAAAGGGGGCTTATAAGAAAGACAGGACCTGTATCAGGCCTGTAGTAATAGGACAAGGGGTAACGGTTTTAAACTAAAAGAAGGTAGATTTCAACCAGATAGAAGGAAAAAATTTTTCCCAATGAGGGTGGTGAGGCCCTGGAACAAGTTGCTCAAAGATGTGGTAGATGCCCCATCCCTGGCAACATTCAAGGTCAAGTTGGACGGGGCTCTGAGAAACCTGATTTAGTGGAAGATGTCCCTGCTCACTGCAGGCGGGTGGGACTAGATGACCTTTAAAGGTCTCCTCCAACCCAAATTATTCTATGATTCTATGATTCTAACTCCTTGTATTTGTTCCCCATGTTGAGTATATTAGCGTACAGGCACTTAGAAGCATGGATTCATCAACAGAAACAGAAGAGGCAACCCACAACATTTTTGTGAGAGCTGTCTGATCAGCTCTCAAGAAGGGTGGACGACGCACCAGGTGTGCATTCATAAGATGCCATCTGAAAGACTGTTCAATGCAGAATTAAGACACAGAAAGATGAAAAGATTAAACCACATTTCTAGGATCCATAAACCACCAGAAGAAAAAAAAAATCCACAAACAAGCCCACCAAAAAACACACACAAAATTTTTTGAGTCACCAGACCTAGCTAATATGCCAACCAGTACAAACTGCTAGCCGTTCATAGGTCTTTATGGGTCTTTTCATAAACAGCAAGTTAAACAATAGCTTTGGCAATGTAAGAATATTAAGTTATTCTCCTTACTATTCATATGTTCCCTAAACTTGAGATCAAGGCAGTAACAAATTCTTCACAGTGAAGTGTCATTTTCCCAAAAAAACCAACAAACTGTCTGTGGTTTCATCTATGAATGACAAATCTATCACAGAGATTTCCTCTCTCTCTGCGAGACAGACAGGGCAAAGGTCTTACACAATCACCATCAGAAGACTCTAGGGTTATGTTAGGACACTGACTGAGAACTGTAAAAAGCCTTTTATAGCCTGAGTTACTGTTTATTTGTGGTTATACTACACAGAGAGTATTGGTGTATTTTTATTGCTAAGCTCTGTACTTGCCCATGTTCCTTCCCTTTGGACCAGTTAATTACATGCTCATAGACATCCTCTGCTAGAGACATCAGTAATTTTCTCAGGATGACCATGCTCATGCTCTGATTTTTGCCAAGCTCATCATCCACAAAGAAGCAAGCAAGACAATCTGATTTCTGCCATAAGGCAAATTCTTGCTGAGTGGAATAAGACAACAACTTTGTAGAGTTAGTTTCAAAAACTTAAGGTTTGGGGTTTTGTTTGTTTAAGGTTTGCAAAATCTACCAGACAAAGTCGATACATGTAGTTGTTAAACAGAAAACACAAAGGGATTGTTTAATTAGCATTGGCAACCTCAGAGAGCCCCCAGCTACGAACTTAATGCATTTTTTTCAATGGAGAAATGAAACCACGGTTCTCACATTTCCTTTAACTAAGAAATTCTTCCTTTGCTCTTCCTGGACTCATTCAAAACCAGCAGCATCCTCACTCTAAAAGCTGCCCAAGAGGAGCTGCATTTAAGAGCCTCACTTTTCCCAGGAATTTCCTACTGAACGCTGAGAACAAGACATGTTTCCACAGCTTCTGTGGATGTAACATACTCCCACCACTCATGGTGTTTCGCTATCTGCCATTGTGTTGTAAAAGGAGTGTCACTAAATTCAAGCCCTGGGAAAGGACACAAGAATGGGAATGTAATTTATTGTGCTTTCCTTGAACAGTCCAGCATAATCTAGCCAAAAACTAGCAGCATTCAGAAATAATTCCCTGCTAGGTAAAGTAACGTCAAACTCACTTGGACTGCAATACAGGAATCACTCCACTGCTAATTCAGGGAAAGAATAGTACATCTGTTGTCCCAGTCTCTGCAACATTACGTTTATCACCCCAGTGAATCATCTGGGAAAAGAGACTACTGATTTTTGCACATCTCACTAGTTAGATTTAGCAAATAAACATCACGGTGCCAGCCAAATTAAAAAAATAGGACTGTCACAATTGTTCAATGCATTTAATGATTCACTGAATTCCTTCAGTAACAGTTTAGAGCAAAACGAGATAGGAAGAAAACACACTTTCAGGAAGTACAGTCCTTTCTCCTGGCCATATTAATGCATCTCATTCCATGGCTCTTCAGTACAAACTAACTACTTTCTAAACTAGTGATAAGAATCTGTGATTCCCTTTGCCCTTCCAAGCGGCAAGAATGCTCATCAGAAGGTTACAGTCCCTTTATTTTAATTCTCTGACCCTATAAATCTTGCATGCATGGAAAGGACACAGAATGGTCCCATTCCAGCCTTGCCTGCAGCCTCATGTTTAGGATATTCTCCTAAAAAGCAAAGCTCTCAAGAGCATGTAAAAACCTACAACTCCCACCTTTCACTTCTTCAAAGGGACTTCTAATCACTGGCATATTAGGCAAAAAGTGTGAGCTACCATTGCTCCTCTTCCCATTT